GACTGAATGACTGACTGACTGACTGAATGACTGACTGACTGACTGAATGACTGACTGAATGAATGACTGACTGAATGACAGACTGACTGACTGAATGACTGACTGAATGACTGACTGACTGACTGAACTGAATGACTGACTGAATGACTGACTGACTGAATGACTGACTGAATGACTGACTGAATGACTGACTGAATGAATGACTGAATGACTGACTGACTGACTGAATGACTGACTGACTGACTGAATGACTGACTGAATGACTGACTGACTGAATGACTGACTGACTGACTGAATGACTGACTGAATGACTGAATGACAGACTGACTGAATGAATGACTGAATGACTGACTGACTGAATGACTGAATGACTGAATGACTGACTGACTGACTGACTGACTGACTGAATGACTGACTGAATGACAGACTGAATGACAGACTGACTGACTGACTGACTGACTGACTGACTGACTGACTGACTGACTGAATGACAGACTGAATGACAGACTGTCAGGCGTACCCATGTGATGGCGTAGGAGTCGGGTGTGATCTTCTTGGTGTCCAGGAAGCTGCAAAGCTCTGGCTCGTGGTACTGCAGCAGCAGCCGGTAGAGGTGGAACGGCCGGCCGCTCGCTACGCACTCCCTGACATCAACACGGACAAAAACTCATTGTTTATTTTCAGCTAAATCTTATTTACAACATTTTGAGGAAAAATTTAGAAGAATTTTCAGAAAAAAGCCAACATTTTGAGAACAAGTAAGTTAAATAAATGGATCCTGAGATTGAGGCTCAAGCCGGGGGCCAGGGATTCGAGTGTTACCTGGGGATGTACTTGTTCATGACGGCGTAGAAGCAGTTGTAGAGGTCGCTGCGCGGCAGCTGCAGAGCGAGCAGAGGCTTCAGCAGCGGAGGCCAGCTCAGATCCACAGAGAACTGAAGGTTCCTGGACTTACAGTAGAACGTGATGACCGCCTCCACGTCACACACCATGTCTCTGCTGTCCTCCTCGCACACCTTCAGCTGGTCTGAGGAAACACACCAGGGTTTATACAAACAACAACATTTTTCTTTTCTTTTTTAACGCTGCTCGGACCGTCTGCACTGATGCACATTCCCAAAGATATTGAAGTGACTGTTATTTTGTACATATTGATTGTTGTGATTTTATTTATGTATTAATGTGTGCACATGTGTCTGATTGTGTATATATAGGATATACATATTTTTACATGCATTTGTTTTTGTGTTCTGGATTGTGGGAAGTAGTATTTCGATCTCTCTGAACACACAAACTGAAAGATTGACAACAAAGTTGACTTATAAAATAAACATTTCCCAAATTGGGATCAATAAAGTACTTCTTATATTATATTCAGAGAACTGTATTAATCCGGGGAGAAATTAGGAAACTAGAGTTAGATTAAAATGGATTAAAAAGGAAAGTAGAGGAAAGTGGAGGACAGAGGACGGAGGACAGAGGACTGACCAATGAGCTGCTGGCTGCTGGTGTGGATCAGGTTTTGCTCGGGGAGATCCAGAACTCCGTCCCACGGAGACAGACTGTCTCCTTTCCCTGAGACATTCAGAGCGATCTGCACAGAGGAGGGGACACTTTAAGAAGGGACACTTTAAGAAGGGACACTTTAGGTAGGGGGACACTTTAGGAAGGGGACACTTTAGGAAGGGGGACACTTTAGGTAGGGGGACACTTTAGGAAGGGGACACTTTAGGAAGGGGGACACTTTAGGTAGGGGACACTTTAAGAAGGGGACACTTTAGGTAGCACACTTTAGGTAGGGGGACACTTTAGGAAGGGGACACTTTAGGAAGGGGGACACTTTAGGAAGGGGACACTTTAGGAAGGGGGACACTTAAGGTAGGGGGACACTTTAGGTAGGGGGACACTTGAGGTAGGGGACACTTTAGGAAGGGGGACACTTTAGGTAGGGGGACACTTTAGGTAGCACACTTTAGGTAGGGGGACACTTTAGGAAGGGGACACTTTAGGAAGGGGGACACTTTAGGTAGGGGGACACTTTAGGTAAGGGGACACTTGAGGTAGGGGACACTTTAAGAGGGGAACATTTAGGCTGCTTCTCACTTCTCTTATTTCCTCGCTCCTCGGTCTCACCGGAAGTTGATTTGTCTGCGCCATCTTGAGGAGCGTCCCAGAGGCCTTATTTCTGCCGGAGGATCGAGGAGCGATAACCGAGGAACCACCAGACCATCCTCCGATGAAATCCTCAGACACTCGCACCGCCCCCTTACTGTGTATAGCTCACTGATTGGACGAGGCAGTTTCCCAGCGCAGTGAAGAAAACACATGAACCTCACGGGACTCACTCCTCAGTTTATACTGTGTTTTGTTTCAATTCATGTTTCATTTAGTTACAAATATGTGAAATATCTGAACAACAAAGTGGGTTAAAATCATTTTATTCATTTTTTGGAAACATTTTCATGATCGCTTTTTTCGTTTTCATTTATTGTCTCATTTCCAGTCAGTCATTAAGTGCTATTAAAATGTTAATGTGCTGCAAATCCACACAAACACACAAAGTGTGCAATGAATGTTATCTAACTGGGCTTTGATAGATAACATATCTCTCTTTCTTCTCTCAATTACTTTATTTCTATTGTGCACTCTAATCAATATTAATATAACTATTGTTCGTTTATACATTTTAAGAATGGCGTTTATCTTTTTGAGAATGAGCTCTTATTTTATTTTATTTATTGGGGTCTACAACAGATGATACAAATGTGTGTGTCAGTAAATGTGTACTAACAGAGGCGGGGGTGTGTGTGGAAACAACGGGGACAGAGCTGCTGTCAGACGATCAGCTGTGCAGCGTCATCACAAACGGACGTCGCTTCACGTGACGCTCCGGAGGAAAGGACGTCCCATTGCTCTGAAAACTCATTTCCCTGCTTCTCGTGGTTTCCTCTCTCCTTGCTTCCCTGGAGGGAGGGGCTAGACCAGTGTTTCTCAAACTTTTTCATACCAAGGACTTAACCAATAAAAAAACACTCGCGGACCACCTAACTCCACAAATATCCAAAAACACATCATTTTTTACAAATCGCCTGAAAATGGTACAAACAAGTGGCCACATGTGTGATGAAGGTGTTGCTCTGGGCTATATCATGCAATCGAAAGTGAAACTTAAGCTCACTCCATTGCGGAGATATTCCCGCGAGAGTGCGGAAAACTTAAATGTATTTATTTATTTAAAATCTGAAATGTTACCAATATACTCACGGACCACTAGGGGGCGATCACGGACCACCAGTGGTCCGCGGACCACACTTTGAGAAGCACTGGACTAGACGCAGGGAAACGACGCAAGTGAGGGAAGCAAGGATTGAAGTTAAGAGACGTGAGATGCAGCCTTAGACACTTTGGGAAGGGACACTTTGGGAAGGGACACTTTGGGAAGGGACACTTTGGGAAGGGACACTTTGGGAAGGGATCCTTTAAGGAAGTGTTAGCTGCTGTGACGCTGCAGGACGACTGAAGAGTTCTGCTTCCTCTCACCTTCCACATCTTGGCTCTGTGCTGGGCCGAGCTCTCCTGGAGGACCCCTCTCTCCTGGAGGACCCCTCTCTCAGTCTCCATGTCAGAGCCCGAGTCCAGAGCCTCCATCAGATCCTGGTCCCTGGGGGGGAGATCAGGTTGAAGGACTTTGTATACTGCAGGGTAGCTGGTGGATTTACTCCAGGTGGAACTAAAGTCTGATTCAACACTTGGTTAGATTTACCATCATTCATCTGTGAAGTAACTAAAGTATTAAATACATGGAGTGGAGTAGAAGTACACCATGTACCTCTGAACTGTAGTAGAAGTACACCATGTACCTCTGAACTGGAGTAGAAGTACACCATGTACCTTTGAACTGTAGTAGAAGTACACCATGTACCTCTGAACTGTAGTAGAAGTACACCATGTACCTCTGAACTGTAGTAGAAGTACACCATGTACCTCTGAACTGTAGTAGAAGTACACCATGTACCTCTGAACTGTAGTAGAAGTACACCATGTACCTCTGAACTGTAGTAGAAGTACACCATGTACCTCTGAACTGGAGTAGAAGTACACTATGTACCTCTGAACTGCAGTAGAAGTACACCATGTACCTCTGAACTGTAGTAAAAGTACTCCATGTACCTCTGAACTGTAGTAGAAGTACACAGTAGCATACATGGAATACTCACTAAAGTAGAAGTACCTCTAAGTAGTACTTGAGTAGATGTAGTGGAGGTGTTGGACTGTAGCTCAAACTGTTCCCAGGCGATCAACTCAGACATGTGTGATATTTAGTAATCAACACTCAGCTAGCTTTAATGCTGCTCAGTGGACAGAGCTGAGTCCTGCAGCTTCATGTCTACAGCCTGCTGGTGAATGAAGGCTTTAATGCTGCTCAGTGGAGAGAGCTGAGTCCTGCAGCTTCATGTCTACAGCCTGCTGGTGAATGAAGGCTTTAATGCTGCTCAGTGGACAGAGCTGAGTCCTGCAGCTTCATGTCTACAGCCTGCTGGTGAATGAAGGCTTTAATGCTGCTCAGTGGACAGAGCTGAGTCCTGCAGCTTCATGTCTACAGCCTGCTGGTGAATGAAGGCTTTAATGCTGCTCAGTGGAGAGAGCTGAGTCCTGCAGCTTCATGTCTACAGCCTGCTGGTGAATGAAGGCTTTAATGCTGCTCAGTGGACAGAGCTGAGTCCTGCAGCTTCATGTCTACAGCCTGCTGGTGAATGAAGGCTTTAATGCTGCTCAGTGGACAGAGCTGAGTCCTGCAGCTTCATGTCTACAGCCTGCTGGTGAATGAAGGCTTTAATGCTGCTCAGTGGAGAGAGCTGAGTCCTGCAGCTTCATGTCTACAGCCTGCTGGTGAATGAAGGCTTTAATGCTGCTCAGTGGAGAGAGCTGAGTCCTGCAGCTTCATGTCTACAGCCTGCTGGTGAATGAAGGCTTTAATGCTGCTCAGTGGACAGAGCTGAGTCCTGCAGCTTCATGTCTACAGCCTGCTGGTGAATGAAGGCTTTAATGCTGCTCAGTGGACAGAGCTGAGTCCTGCAGCTTCATGTCTACAGCCTGCTGGTGAATGAAGGCTTTAATGCTGCTCAGTGGACAGAGCTGAGTCCTGCAGCTTCATGTCTACAGCCTGCTGGTGAATGAAGGCTTTTGACTCGAATGTATTTGTTACCGGTGTTTTAATAATGTTCCGTTTCCTCCACTGACTCTCAGCTGAGATGCTTTCCGGTTCAGATGAACTACATGATTTAACAACTACATAGATTATGATAAAGTATTTGAAAAACATGATAGAAATGTAAAAAGCGCTTTATAGAGTTATCTTTATCTTGTTACGAATTCAGCAGCACTTCAAATGGAAGACTTGATGAAGTGAATTTATCTGCAGCTTCCTTTGGTTCTGAGTTTCTCTACGGTCTGTGCAGAAAAGCGCCTGCTAAACGATACGTAATGCAACGATACGTAACGTAATGATACGTAACGTAATGATACGTAACGATACGTAATGTAATGATACGTAACGTAATGATACGTAACGTAATGATACGTAACGATACGTAATGTAATGATACGTAACATAATGATACGTAATGCAATGATACGTAATGATACGTAACGTAATGATACGTAACGATACGTAACGTAATGATACGTAATGCAATGATACGTAATGATACGTAATTAGGGATGTCCCGATCACCTTTTTTTGCTCCCGATCCGATTCCGATCATTTGATTTTGACAATCTGCCGATACCGATTTTCCCGATCCGATCTTTATGCATTAAGAGAAAACAAAGGTAACAGATAACGGCTGGTCGTCCAACGCGATGAATTCAGCTATCTTGGCTGTTATTTGTTTGGCCTTTTCATTGTTCTGGGGCCGTTTCTCTTTCCTTTTGAAAGTCTCTAAAGTGTCGGTTGTTTCCGTGCCGTTCCCCGAGTGGCCGCTGTGTACTCGTCGTGTTGTTGGTGTTTGTTTCTCAGGTGGCGTATTAGATTGGTCGTGTTGAACGTAGCTCTGTTCTTTCCACCACGCGGAACCTCCGCCTTGCAAACATTGCATCTGGCTGTTACACTGCCTTCGCTTTCAATTTTATAATACTTCCAAACTCCTGACATGTTCTCTGTCCCGACTCCCGAGTCACCAGCTGAACGTAGCCTCTCGTTAGCTGCTGCTATCAGACACTGCGCCCACTCTGTTGCTTTGAGAGAAATAAGCAACACATGATGTTGTGTAATTTTAAACCAAAACTAAGGCCTCAGGATGACTTTAAGACGTGAACATGGTCATTTTTGTTTTGTAACATTAAATAAAATAATACAAATATTTTATAACAAAAGATAAATAAATAATAATAATTCACGATCCCCGATTTTTTTCTCCCGATTCCGATCTTTTGAAAATCACGTGATCGGCTCCGATCCCCGATCACGTGATCGGCTCCGATCCCCGATCACGTGATCGGATCGGAACATCTCTATACGTAATGCAATGATACGTAATGATACGTAACGTAATGATACGTAACGATACGTAATGTAATGATACGTAATGCAATGATACGTAATGATACGTAACGTAATGATACGTAACGATACGTAATGTAATGATACGTAATGTAATGATACGTAACGTAATGATACGTAATGCAATGATACGTAATGATACGTAACGTAATGATACGTAACGATACGTAATGTAATGATACGTAATGTAATGATACGTAACGTAATGATACGTAATGCAATGATACGTAATGATACGTAACGTAATGATACGTAACGATACGTAATGTAATGATACGTAATGTAATGATACGTAACGTAATGATACGTAATGCAATGATACGTAATGCAATGATACGTAATGATACGTAACGTAATGATACGTAACGATACGTAATGTAATGATACGTAATGCAATGATACGTAACTAGAGATGTCCCGATCCGAAAAAAAATCATTTTATTTAATGTTACAAAAAAGTATCGTTACATTACGTATTACGTATATTATGTCTTAAAGTCATCCTGAGGACTTAGTTTTGGTTTAAAATGACTCAACATCATGTGTTGCTTTCTTTGGGCTTGTTTTCAGACCTGGTTATCTCTCTCAAAGCAACAGAGTGGGCGCAGTGTCTAATAGTAGCAGCTAACGAGAGGCTACGTTCAGCTGGTGACTCGGGACGGAGAAAATGTCAGGAGTTTGGAAGTATTATAAAAGCGAAAGCGAAGGCAGTGTAACAGCCAGATGCAATGTTTGCAAGAAGGAGGTTCCGCGTGGTGGAAAGAACAGAGCTACGTTCAACACGACCAATCTAACACGATTGTTTTTTTTTTCATTTTTTCCCCCGTTTTAAAAAAAAAAAAAATTGAATTTATTGAAATCTCCAATATCAACGTAAGAGCTTGAGCCTCTTCGGGGGTGCTAACACTTAACCATAAACGTTATCGTTTACTTTCTCCGTCTTTATATGTAGATATTACTTTTCTCCGTTAATCTCCGTCACGTTGTTTCCATAGCAACAACAACTTCCTGTTAACAGCGCTACCTCTCCTTCAAAATAAAAGCATGTCCATAAATAGGAAGCCAAGACAAATTACACTTAAGACACAACTGCAACGAAAGTAACAAACACAAAGCGATATCCTTTTCAATTTCAAAGAACACAAGTTGGGTTACATTAACAAATAACTACAAAACAACAATACTGTAGAACAACAGAAAGAAGAGGTTCGCTGCTGATTACTGTTGAATGGTGTTACTCCAGTAAAATGGAAATATAATACTTTGTTTATTCATGTTATGTTAAGCTGCTGTTGTTCATTGCATTAATACTAGACTAGTTAGTCTTAAGGCTAGAATTCTGCACTAAGCCATGTTTTCATTTCATTGTATTATTTGTGACTGAATGTGAACGTGTGATGCGAGTCCAGCTACCTCTTTCCAGTAGAGCTAGTTTTGTTGTGTATCAACTGAACTGATCCAATGCTGCTGTGAACAAAAGAAGCTATATCCATGTTGGATAGAATGGATAGCTGGGTTCTGTCATTTAAATAAAAAAATAACCTTAAGGGAAAACTTGAATGCTTTGTTTTCTCTTATTGCATAAAGATCGGATCGGGAAAAATCGGTATCGGCAGATTGTCAAAATCAAATGATCGGAATCGGATCGGGAGCAAAGAAAGGTGATCGGGACATCCCTATACGTAACGTAATGTAATGATACGTAATGCAATGATACGTAACGATGCGTAATAATACGTAACGATACGTAATGTAACGATACGTAAAGTAACGATACGTAATGTAACGATACGTAATGTAATGATACGTAACGATACGTAACGATACGTAATGTAACGATACGTAATGCAACGATACGTAACGTAATGATACGTAATGCAATGATACGTAATGCAATGATACGTAATGTAATGATACGTAACGATACGTAACGATACGTAATGCAACGATACGTAACGTAATGTAATGATACGTAATGTAACGATACGTAATGATACGTAACGATACGTAATGTAACGATACGTAATGCAACGATATGCAATGTAATGATACGTAATGATACGTAACGATACGTAACGATACGTAATGTAACGATACGT